AAAAAAAAAATTTGTTTTTAGTACTTAACTGTACTGTATGGAAACCAATTCTTAACAGAATATAAAATTTCAATTAAATTTAAAACTTTTTTACTTTTTTTGTTTTATGCTACTATGAGAAATTAATTTTTTTTTTTTAATAGAGTTTGTAGAATACCATGCTATTAGTAAATAACTAGCTGTCATGACCCGTAAAATACGGGTCTTTAGGATATTGATGCACACTTTATCCGCGTGCTTACAGTTCATAAGAACTATTATCCGGTTTATAACGCAAGAAAATCTCAATCAAATGAAAACATCTAAATGATAACTTTTAATGTCCTAAAAATCCTAAAATTTTAATGTCCTAAAAATCCTAAACTTTTAATGTCCTAAAAAATGGTGAATCTAAAATCCTAAAGGATTTTAGATTCACCATTTTTTTTTGTCGCTAAATTCTAAAAAAAATATCAAACAATGTAATAATCTAAAAATAATAATATGATAATGTTACTATCAATGTAATAAATCTAAATCCAAAAGTCAAGGATTAAAGAGATGTAAGAAAAAATTTGTAAAAAATTCTTTTTTTAAGCCTTAAATTTTATCTTTTTTTAAGTATTTAACTAAGCATTTAACTAAGCCTCGTGGTGATTAAAATCGCGTGGAAGTAAAACTCGATTGGCATTTTGTTTAAAAAACCTAGGTTGGCACAAACTAGGTTACCACAGCGATATTTATCATATACAAAAAAGCTGAATTTCTGTTTTTGTATATTTGATCAACAAAGTTTTTTCTCAAAAAGACTTGGAATATGTCAAGATAGTTGGAAACTAAGTGTTAAAAGACTTCACGAAAAAACAAAATTTTGAAATTTGTGAACGATTTTTTTTCTCTCGTTAGCGAAGTTGGTTCTGTGTCAAAATGCGAGGATCAAACTTTTGATTAATATCTTTACATATGTTGTCTATATACAATATCTATAAAACTTTATAAGTATTTGAATTTGTTTTTAAAAAAATCTAAAAAAAATTAAAACAGTAGTCGCCAACGGTAGGACTCGAACCACGGCAGTTTGGTTCTAAAGCCCAGCGCGCTAACCACTCGACTATGCTGACACATTAAATAATGAAGATTCAAAATTATATAAAAATTGTTTTTAACGGATATAAATGCAAAAGATTAGAAATCAAGCTGAGGTTGACGAAATGCAGTTCTTAAGTGAAAATCAAACTGTAGAACTTGATATATGTTTAAGCATGTTTTAACATTACATAACATGAAGTCTAGGTACGTACGATATAAGTTTCACGTTTGCTCACGTTTTCTTATAAAGCAAAGGTGAGACTCTTTCTCGTCACTACCTCGGATGCAATGGTTGCCAAGAGTATTGTGTTAAACAGGCTCGAAAGCGCACTACTACTAATAAGTTCAGTATTATTAAAGAGATTATTGAATACCACTCTATTAGTAAATAATTATTGAAAATTGTTCAAAGTGTTTTGAATATTTATTAACTATATTTTAGTAAATTCAGTTTTAGTATTCATTGATATTTTAAATAAATAATAATTAAATTTTTAAATAGTTTAAATAATTTTTTATCAATAATCTAAATACTCTAAACCATTTTAAATAAATATTTACATTACATAATATATTTAAATATATTAAATCACAATATTTGTAAAATTAACAAAATAGTTTTACATCTTGTATTCGAATAACTATTCAAATAAAAAACATAAACATTTAATAAACGTTTACTATTATTTAAATTTTAAAATTTTGATTAAAATATAAGCAAATCGCTCATTTAACTTTTACTAAAGGTTAATAATTTTTATAGTGGTTTAAGGCACCTTTTAAATTTAAGATATTTAAAGAAGAGATAATTTCAGTAAACATAATTTTAAAAATGTTATATTTTTTTGATTAAAAAACATCTTTTTAAAAAAAATATATTATATTTTTTTAATCATTAAGTATAATTTAAAAAATAACATTTAATTAATAAGTTACATTTACTAAGGGTTATTATAAACAGATCTTAATAAAACTTATATTAAGTTATTTTAATTGTAAATTGTATTATTTTAAAAGTCAATAAGAATATGGAAAAGAAACAAAACTTTCTGTAAAAGTTTATGATTCGTTTTTTCGTTTTCATTGCATAAATTTAAATAGCAAGCTAAAGATCAAAAGTTCATTCGAAAATTAAATTTGCGCGGTAGTTATTAAGACAAAAATTTTTTACTTTTGTTCATTTATTATCAAAAGCAGTTTGCTCTTAATTGCCAAAAACTAAAGTTAACTTAACTCTGAATGGATATTTTAAAATCATTCTATCTTTCGAAAAAGCAAATTTTTTTATACATTCCGTTGTTATAAAATTATGCAACAAGTTTTTAAAATTAAGTTTTGTAATGATATTCATTTTTTTTAAACTAACGTTCAGTTATTAACCAAAGGACAGTTATGTCATTATGTAAAAAAGCAATTTCAATTTTATTCATTTTATTGACCTGAAGAATAAATAAGGTAGCTAAAATAAACTGAAAATTTTTTTTTTCTATTTTTAATAAAAAAGCAAAAGAAAAATTAAAAAATAAAAATGTTTTTTAAGCACTTTTTTTTGGGCGTTTATACTGCTCCATCGGTACTAAAACAGGTCTGGGTTCGTCCCTGGCTTTCTTTGTTTTTAAAACTTTGTTTTTTTTCTCAATGCCTAATTTAAAATAAAATACTCACGTGTGGAACTGCTTCTCTTAACAGCTTTTTACAAAAGCTTTTAGTTTTTGTGCGAGCTATCTGTTTATTCATAAAAATAAAATTACTTATTAAATACAAGATTTGAGATATGGTGATTTGAGATATGCAAGATTTGAGATACTTGTTATATGCTTGTAACATTTGATGTTTGTAATGCTCATGTTACAAGAATATAAACATAACAAACATTCTTTGAAAAACTTCTTTAGGTTAGTGTTTTCTTTGGGTTTTCATACTATTTGTTTATTTATTAACAACTTAACTTATTTGTTTAAAAAAAGTTAGAAAAATAAAGAGCTATAAAAGCTGTTTAATAATAAAAATGTTTTACATTTTTTTTTCTGTAATAAAATGCAGGAAGTTAAAGAATTATTACAACAATTTAAAATTCCACAATAAAAGTGTTTAGTATAATTACAATTTTTTTTAGAGGAATATTTAACAGAATATTTTTTTATTTTAATCAAATTGAGACATTTGAATAATTCATTGTAATTAATATATAAAATATATAATTCATTATGTAATAAAAAAATTAATATGCAATAATTTAGTGTGTAATCATTTTATATATATATATATATATATATATATATATATATATATATATATATATATATATATATATATATATGAATTTGAGCAACATAAAAAAAAGCAATTATAACATTCAGAAAGAATGTTTTACTTTTTCATATGTATTTTTAAAATTTGCTTAATATGATAAACTGAATTTTAAATAACAGCTTTAATAGAAAGCTTAACATTGATGAAGAAAAAGATATACAACAAAATATTTTCAATTTATTTTTTCAAAATAGTATTTTTATAAGTAACTGATTTATTATTTAAGAAACCTGTCAGTTAGTTCAATCTAATTTAAAAATTTTCAATTAGCGCTCTTTTATTTTTTATTTTTTGCAATAACTGTGTATTTAAAAAAGCATTGCAGTTGTATTTAAAACTGTGTATTTAAAAAAGCATTGCATGCAATTATTGTTTTATTTCAAAAAAGACTAAAATCATAATGGTTTTCTTTTATAAGTAACTTTGTGAGCTTTTTATAAGTAACTTTGAACAATAATTTTTAGTTTTTCTAAATAATATTTAAAAATAGAGAAAAAAAGAAAGTGGTTAATATTTATAAGACCTATTTTACTTTGGCGAGAGCTGCATATATATATATATATATATATATATATATATATATATATATATATATACATATATATTATAGTATATTATTATATATATTATAGTATAACGTAAAAATGTTGCGGTTATCTGTCTGGCTGCGGACATTTTTTGTTTTCAAATCTGTTGCAAAATTAGTATCTGCTAAAGTTGCATCTCTTTATTGAGCTCGACACTTTCTTACTCTGGAATCTATTCTCTATCTCTATAAATCTCAAATCCGGCGTTGTATGGAATACTGTTACCATATCTGGGGCGGATCTTCTAATAATGCCCTTTCTCTTTTAGACAAGGTGCAAAAACAACATCAGTACTTTGGAATTTGCTTCCTTCATCTTTTTCCTGATTCATATAATTTGTAATCTTTTGAGTCGTCTATCAATTGTTATCTTGCTCTACAATCTTCATCTTTACTCTTGCAGTAACTTGTTGCTTGCAGTCTTGTCAGAAGCAAAGGTGTTAAAAAAAAAAAATTCAACACTTAACTCTTTCCTATAATAACTCAACACTAAACTCTTTACCATAGTATTGGGTTGTAAAACTAGGTACAACAGTATTTTAGAAGGTATAAAAGTTGCTTCTTTACACTAAAGTTTTTCCTGTAGCAACTCCACGTTTAGCAACTCCACGCTAAACTCTTTAGAATAAGATATAAAATATTTTTCGGGAATTTTCACTAAACAATCAAACATTTTTTTTTTATTGCATAAATAATTTATAGATTTTTTAAATTTACTTGAAATAAAAAGTTCTTTCTCTGTCTTTAACCTAAAAATGTTAACCAAAAAATATTTTCAAATATAAGAAAATGTCAAATATAAGAAATTTCAAATATACAAATGTTTAAAACATGTTCAAAACTGTTTATTAAAGTTAAAATGTTCAAAACATGTTTATTAAAGTTTAAAACATTTAAAAAAAAAGTTACTTTTAAAATTTGTCTACTCTATTATACACTTTAAGCTATTATGTTGTATTTTGTATGATGTTGTTATTGTTATACACTTAAAGCTATTATGTTGTATTTTGTATTATGTTGTTATTGTTGCTAGGTTGCTGCACTTTATTCAAAAGCCTCAAAAGTATTACTTGAATGTTTTCCTGCCATAGAAATAACTTCAAAACGCCTTTATGATTTGTATTGTCATCTTAATAACAGTTTCTTACCTGAGTAAGTTATTTATTTTTTATTTCTTTATAAATTTTTTATTTAATCTTTATTTTTAATTTAAAATAACAACGCTTATTTAGAAAACAGTAAATTATAAATAATGTAAAAATCATTTTAACTGCATTTGTGAAATGAGATTTTGATTAAATCATTAAACTCCCCATTCCTCCAAAGAGAAGGAGAAAAGAATTTAAAAAGAGAACAAGAATTTACTTAGAATAACTGAAAGTTTAAATAACTGAAAATTTTCTTTAAAGTGACCTATTTCAAGTTATCAAATTTTGACAGAAAAAAAGAGTAAAAAAGAAACTTTGGAATAAGATGCTGTTTAAATCTTTACCTTCTAAAAAACAAATTTAAGATAAAAAATAAAATCTGTACACTTAAAAAAAAATCCATCATTTTCAATTTTTTGTTTTTAAAGAATGTTTATCAAGCATCTTTGATACTAGGCTTAGTGATTGTCGGATTTTGACGCCATTGTTTTCAAAAAGAGACCAACATTCAATTAACTCGATTGCACGTGCAATCTTTGATAATTTTGGCTTTCCTGGAAACAAATTGTTTGACTCTTCATCTATCTCCTCATCTACCTCAGCACAATCATTTATTAAAATAGAATTTCTTGATCTGTGATAGCAATTGCTTCACTTAAACAATATCAAAATCTATGTTTACATAATCTTCACAAGAAAAAATGCTTTGTCTACTAAACCATGTGATCTAAGTTTGTTGGCATTCTCTTCAAGCAATTCTAAAAGATCATCTTCACCATTTATACTTGCAATTAATATTTCCTGCGAGATGCCTGCTTTTCTAAAATAATTCATTATAGTGATTGTTGATACAGCATTCCATTACTTGACCAACATGCTCATAGGTTCAAGAATGTTGGTATTTGGTGTTGTCAAGAATGTCAGTATTTGATCTGACGTCTTACAACATTCGTGCCATAAAAAGCTTTCAATGCCTTTATGACTCCCTGGTCTATTGGTTATATTTTGGAGGTTGTGTTTGGTGGTAAAAGTACTAGTTCAATTATTTTGAGATTGTCAACATTAGGATGAGCTGGGCAATTATCTATGATTAAAACAACTTTTCTATTCTTAGTATTGTGTCAAGCCTTCTTACATAATCACTAAAGATTTTAGAGTCCATCCAGGATTTATTTTGGAATAGATTGGTATCAAATGAAAAAAACTTTGAACTGACTTTGAGATTTTGTCAGTTATTCGAAGTAAAATTTCAGTTATTCAGAGTGAAACATTGTCCGTTATTTGAGGAGTAAAATTTTGTCAGTTATTTGAGGAGTAAAATTTGTCTGTTATCAGAGCTTGTTTTAAAGCGTTAAGCTGCTGGCAGTTTACATACGAATTGCATATGCCTAGAGCAATTTGTATGAAGCAACTTTTGATATTTTTTTAACTTTTAAATTACTCTATTAAGATAGGTAAGATAAAAAAAATAATTAATTTTATAAAAAACCGCTTTGATGATTATGTAAAAAAGTTTGAATGACAATTATGTTAGATGTAAGCTATTTACTAATGAAAAAAACTAAAAGCACTATTTACTAATTAAAAATAATTAAAAACTACAAAAACTTATTCTCTATTAAGCTAATTATTTTATCGAACAGAAAACAAAATTGTTTATAGTAACAATTATTGTTTTTTTTTTTTTTTTTTATGTGAAGTTATTAAAAAAATATAAGTAAACATAAAAGAAATATATATAAAAACTTTTATTTATTATCTTGAGAGGATAAGAATTGTTTATGCAACTTTTGATTGCATTGAAAAAATTTACTTAAAATTTCTATTTCTATAGTAATAAATAATTTCTACTTAATTTTTTTATTTTTATTGTAATGATCGATTTTTTTGCTTGAAAAACGCTAATGCTTTAAGAGCCGTTTTTTCTAAGAATCAGGCAAATTCCTGAAACTGTGGAAGTGACCTCGTCCAAATTGCTTGAATTTTTTATATATTGATCAGAATATAGAGAAAACCTGTTGGGGAAAAAAAAAAATTTCAACAATGTTTCATTCACTCAGAATCTGGGCTTAAATTTTTGAGATTTTTTTAAAAATTTTTAGAAATTTAGTTTTTGCCACCTTTGAACCCATTTTTTTGGCAAGGCAAAAAGTTGCACATAGCTTTTGTAGTTAATATCAGACGTAACCCAAAAGCTCTTTCCAAAAAATATAAAAAAGTTGCGTGACACTGTGCGGTTGGCTAATTATCATAGTTCAAAAGTACAAAATCAATCAGTTTTGTCAATTTTTAATAGGAGTTAATTCTAGCGGCGAAGTGTTGCACACAATTTTTCTTTTAGGATTTGAAATTATCAAAGGTATTGAGTCTAAAAATGCAAAGAAAGTTATGTGATACCTAAGGCCTATTAATATATTAAGGCTTGAAATTGGAAAAAAATGTTTTAGTATACTTACAAAATGAACCATTACGGCAGAGGCGCTTAGTTTTGTAAAAATGTAAACATATCCAACTGTCAATACAAAAAGGTCCTAACATAATAATAAAAAAAATTTGTGTGATTTTGTCACACGCATGATATAACATGAATTAAAAACTGAACAAAAATCTAACATCAAGATAACTATATTGCTAATTAAATAAAACATAAATCAAACATTTAAATGTTTTTCCATTTAAAAATTAGTTTTTCATTTATTAATAGAGTCATTTACACACATTATCCACCACATCACACATAATTTCTACTCTGCTGCAGAAAGTTTCTCTAAGAATAATGATATGACTGTATTATAGTCTTCTTCGGATAATGAATAATTGCCACAACCACTGATTAGAAAAGGAGCATTTACTAAACAGATAAATTTATCAGTTTGGTGATTTATCTCCTCGGTAGTAACTGGCCAGCGAAAAGTATTCTTCTCTTGCCCGTTAATCATACAATTAACTCTGATCCCAGTTATAGATACCTAAAAGTATTAGCGCAACATTTAAAATAATATAATAAAGAGTTTATGATTTATTTAATTTTGCTTACATTCAATAAAACTTGTAAAGTCTTATACAATGTCATTCTGAAATTATTTTTACATTTTATTTATATTCCTTTTATTTTAGAGCACTGTTTTGTAAAACAAAATAAAAACTTGAAACTAATATATACTTTGAATAATATTACCTCCACAATATATCCAATATTCCATTGTTTTTCATATGCAACAGCAACCCAATCATTCACTTTCCATACAAGACAAATTTCTTTTGCAAGATTGGTGATGTCTTCCTCATATTTATTATCATCTTCATTGTCTCCTGTCAGATTAAAGTCATCATTTTCGCCATAAACTTCTTTGTTATCGTTAACCTGACTATTTTCATTATTTTCTGTTGTCGGTTCTACCAGCTTACCTTTTCTTTTCAGGTTACTAAATCTATAACAATATCAATTGTGCATATTTTTAAACATATGTAAAAAAACACACAAAATTATAACTTTCACCTAAATTTTTAATTTCATATTTGTAAAAGAACTATTTAACATTCAGAAACATAATCTAATTTGCAAAAGTTTTGATAGCAACAATGCCTACCTTGAAAATAAAGATCTTATCTGTTGGCTAGTTACATATTGATCAGGCGGAAGTTCTCTCCTCAGCTGCATGTGAACCTGCTCAGGGCTCATTTTATTACCTGATTCTTCTCCACGAATAAAGTATTTATACAACAGTTCTTTCTGCTGATTTGAAAATCTAAAAGAACTTCGAACTGGTAATGCCCAACCTTGCAATAGAAAAATGTTCATGCAATGTGGTTTGTCTTTTACGGAAGCACTGTTAGAGGATGAAGAAATTGGCATATTTAGTTGTGAAGTAATTTTCATCTTATATCAACAAACAAGTTGCGAACTTTATCCAATGATGTTAATGATTTCGGAACTGTATGAAGACCGGATAGCATGTGTTCTTCTAACTCAGCATCACTTTCAAATGATAAAGTACAATTCATTTCAGTGCAAAATCTTAATGAATATAATTGCCTGTCACTTCTTTTCTGTTTTTCCTTAAGTGACTTGTTACGCTTAATTGAATTATCTGTTTTGCTATATGGCAACAACAACTTAATCGAGGGTTGAATTTTAAGATTTCCATACTCTTGTTCAATTCCCTCACCGATATTGAAATAACGCCACATCTTCATACTTTTCTCACCAAACTCAAATGAGTGATAGTTGCTAATGTTCTTAATCTTTGGTCCAGTAACTACAGTTTTATCATTGCTAATTTAAGCAACTGCTACTTTAAGGAGTTACTTTAAGGAGACAATTTTACTACTTTAAGGAGACTGCTACTTTAAGGAGACAATTTTAAGGAGTTACGTTGACTAGGAGTCAACGTAACTCCTTAAAATTGTCTTTACAACTGCACTCTCCCTGTCACATTGATCTTTTCCACAACAGGGTTCATTATAATCATATCTCAGCAACTTTATATCTCTCTCTTTGCATACATTGTAGATTGCTTCAGCTGAAAGATTACCCTGATAGCAGCCGGCATTATCAGATTTGGTAAACATTTTCTTGATATGCGGTTGATCAATTCTGAATTGGTCTAAAACTGCAGTGGCTAACGAAACAACATCACCTATTCCCTGATCACACCTATACATTGAAGTAAAGTAAACACGTTTGAATAACTTTCCTGCTATTTTTATGAAGAATATATCCACATGTAAACTCATTCCTTTCTTGCCAAAATACTCTCTTTGGCCCTCTCTGTATCGAACCGGAAGAATTTTTTGACAAAAATCTTTAACCCAGAAAGCAGTTTCATTGTTTAATTGCTTAAAAGCTTCGATTTTTGCCTTTTTCTGTTGAGAATCTCTCATCAGGTGTTTTATGTAGTTGAATACATCGTTTACAGCAATTTCCAAATCATAAATAGAATCAGCATCGTCAGAATTTTGAATTGTTAGTTCTTTGATCATCTCGATAGCTTTGCACAAATC